ACACGACCATACACAGCCCAGCCCCACAAATCTGCATGCTACACCACATGACCCCACGCCAGGACACTGCCCTGCCAGGCACCAATTCTATGTCCATCGTAGGCAAGATTCCCACTAGCGTTGTACACGACCCTGTAATGACTTCACATGGTCAATAACCGCCTTGGTAAGGGGCATAGGTGCATGCTCTCCCCATCCTGCAACACTCATGGCATTGTAGCTTCGGCACAATAAGCAGTAGGCTCGTGGCTTTGTAGGGTGCTGCTGAAGGGTAACACGAACTGGAGCTACATCCTTAGCCAAGTAAAAAGGGTTCGATTTTGACATTCGCAGGACAGGCACATTCATGTAATCATCAAGGAGAGGCAAGGATGGCTCATACCACTCAGAAACCTCCAGCACCACATCGTCAATTTGATCAGTACGGTAGGATGGCAGGCGCCATGCCTTTGCAACCTTTCCAACCCACCATCCAATTTCTGGCACAGCGGCACACTTCCTGCACATGAACCATGTATGCACATCATTTGGATAGGAGTTATCCTTGCTACGCCGGTACACAGCTTTGATGTCGATACAGTCATTTAAGCGTACACCTGCAAGACGCTCACTGAAGCTTGGTGGTACATCAAATTTGTATGGCTCCTTGAGTGCATCACTAGTGCGCCAGATTTCCAACGGCCACAAGTTCCTTAGTACCGAGTCCTGGATGGCCTGCAAGGTGTAATATCATTTGCCGACTTTCGGTAAATACACCATGATGCTCATTTCAACCAGACATAACTACCCATGCACAGCTCAGCCCTTCCTACCAAGGATTTGAAGTCCACTGCTTGTGAGATTCGGTCGTGTGTCAGGACTTTAGATCTTGGAGAATTGCCATCCACCTTCACACTTGCAAGCGCACCTTGCACTTCCTTGCATATGGACTGGAATCAACATTGGCACATTGTGGAAGGATGGTAATCAATACATCCGGCTCAGCAGGTAAGAACGGTTGGACATACAACCCACCCATGACTTACCCCAGCACTGGTATCATGGTCAGGCCACTGAGCCCATAGCCACTCCAGAAATGCAGCCCACAGTTCCTTGTACCTTGGGTCATGTTGAATGTACATTTCATGTAGCTGGGAGCGTTGGACAGATGATAAGGATGCCAGCAGCCTAAGTCCACCAGCTCCATCGATGCGCAAAGGCTCAACTGAGGGAGCCTTTTCATTGCGCCAGGTCCAGCCGCTGTGTATCTCCTTAGTAACCGCTACTCCCTGGGAAGGATACCATCTAGCATGACTGTGCTTTGGTTACGGTAAGCAAC